TTATTTGTATGCGCCTTTTCTATAAAATATTCAAAAGCGCATTCAAGTGTGAAAGCGCGAATTAAAGAGAGATATTCAGAGATATTCAAAAGCGCATTCAAGCGTGATTCAAGTTTGGAGCGTCGCCAGCGCCTTTCAAGCTTGCGACAGGTTGATTTCTGTTCTCTGATTTCATCACTGTACTAGGGAGCATTAGGTCGCAAAGTGATGATCCTTGTGCGCAGAGGTGCGTGCTTGTCTAAGATTGAGAGTAAAACCGAGTCATACTGGTCGGAGAATTCGGTATAATTCCTGGGATGGCGAGTTGTATAAGGCGGAGGAAAGAATATCGCGCCAAAGGTTGTCTGAATCAATGGTACGCAGTTTACGTGACGTGATGGTGAGCTTAGCTTTAGGTGGTCTCTTGATAGCCAAGGTGCAATGAACAGCGAAGTGATCACAGATAACCGGGTCGTTCACTGATAGATTTAAGACAGTCTCTTCGCCGGATCTTGTGATAATGAGGTCAAGGACGTTGTTGTTTTTGTGCGTCGGGATGTGGACATTACAGACTTTCAGATTAAAACAGCTTAAAAGGTCAAGAAACTTGTTGACGGTGTTGTCAGATGGATCATTGACATGGAAATTGAAGTCACCAGCTAGAAGAAGGCGACCGGAAGAAGACGCTAGCCTTTCCAGCAGTGAAGAAAAATCATCCAAAAAAGCAGCATGTGTAAGACCGTTCTTGATAGAAGTTGGAGGGCGGTAAATAACGATAATGCGTATGATGGATCCGGAAGAGTGAAGCAGTAGTTCTTTAAATTCAAAAGATTCTAACGGATCAGATTTGATTTGCTCTATTTTTAGATTTTTTCAGTAGAGTAGGCCTACACCTCCACCATTTCCAGTAGGTCTTGGTGTATGAACAAAAAGCGTGTCTGGTGGGACTGATATCACGAATGGTGTAGTCGGGGCAGTCATCCGGTTTAAGCCAGGTTTCTGTTAAAGCAAGAATGTCGATGTTTTTGTCCACTACAAAGTCTTTGATTTGTAGCGTTTTGTTGCTGAGGGATCTTGTGTTTAGAAGGCAGAAGTTTAGCGGATTTGCAAATGAAGAGTTCAACCGGTGTCGCTTGGTCGGCATGAAGTTATTTAAATTAGGTTCAACAATAGTTTCACACTTGAAGGTTTACGAACATTCCATACAGGACTAATTTTGTGGAAACCACACAATTGCTTCATGGCCTTTCCTGCTCGAGTGCGGCGTGTTCTGAGAATCCCTTGAATTTCCAGGAACTGATAAAGGTCAGGTCGAAGTTTAGATTTCACTCTCAGATCCATCAATTGCTGTCGTGAATAATTAAAGGAACTGAAGCCTAAAATTGGTATATTGTTTGCTTTCATTGCTAGTTAGCTTTAGAGGAGTAAGATAAAGTGTCGATATTTATTTTCGTTCACTTCTTGTTTTTTGCAAGAAAATTCGATTTGAAGTTGCCTTTTTCCCGCTTTTGGGGCTGTACGACCGTCGGCTCAAAATAGGTCAGCAGCGGTCGTTTATGACGTTAGTGGTGGGGAACCAACTTAAGAAAAACAACTGTTGCTATTTCATTTTCGTAGTTAATCCCCATTACAGGTCACGCAACTTCGATAACTCCATAACCAAACCAAATTTCTGTAGAAAGAGTACGGGTTTATCATCTTTCTTTCCCACCAGTGACGTAAGAGCGAGCTAAAATGATCGCTGACATCGCTTTTCTGAGCCGCCGTACTACGAGGGCAAAATACCACTTTAAACTATTTTTCCGAGGCGAAGTTGGGCCCAAAGACTGAAAAAACCCTCGCACATTGCTATTTGAACTATAAGCTGCAATTTAAAAATGGTTCATTCTTAGGGTTCAGTTCCCCTTTAAGTTTCTGAAGTTTAATGGATGAGGCAGTAATATGCAAATCTCTGTTCGAAGAAGAAGCAAGTCGATGAAGCGAAGAATTTTCGAGATCGGGACCAGGATTTTAAGTAAGAACCTTTGTTCTGTTTCTGCTCGTCAGTTTTTTTCGGGTAACACTACGTAACTGATACAGAAAATCTAAAATCAGATCCGTACCATCAGAAAGAATGATAAGATTTTTTCTCATAATGGCCTTTGTCATCCTCAAAATCACGTCAACGGAAGCCATCAGAAAGTTTTAATTACTTCACATTTGGCCTGGAAAGAATGGTATGCCAAGCAATAAATAAATATTTTGAAAGCTCTCTAACCTTGACATTTGTCATTGTGTGCACACGGACACAATTTTCGTCTTCGATCTCGTTACTTTGAAAAAAGTATTCCAGTGGTTCTATGCAGGGGAAAAGTGCATTATTTGAATAAAAAGAAACCACGCAACATTTTTGCAAATAGCCCGTTTAGTTGTAAAATATCATCGTATGCCTACAGCATCAAAACTTTTGTTTTAAGAAAAACATCCTCTTTCTGAATTTGTTGTGGCGTGGAAAAACCACTATACTATAAGCCATTTATATGTGGCCTCATCACAGATTTGCTTCCGATGCATCCATCATTGTTTTTTTTACCCTCAGTGATAGTTACAATTACTATAAGAATTAAAATTTCGTCAGATAATTCGACAACATGTAAACAATATCCTCTTTTCTGCGGGTAAATAGACTCGGTTACATGCCCGTGGACATTACCAGTTCCGAGAGGAGCTTAATGATAAGAAGAATCGTACAAATCATGTACGATCCTCGCAGTAGATAGCGCTATTTAAGCAATAGCGAAAATCAGACCTGAAAAAAATCAGGCCTGTACGGGATTAGAACCACTGACCTCTGCGATACTAGTGCAGCGCTCTACCAATTGAGCTAACAAGCCAACTGGTCTGATTTTCGCTATTGCTTGAATAGCGCTATCTACTGCGAGGATCGTACATCATATGTATCCAATACTGCAGTTCAAATTATATGAACTTCATATATTTCATCTTATCTCAAGAAGAATCGTGTTCAAAAAGTATATATTAAGTGAATATTCGGGCCANAAAAAAAAGAGGATTATTCCGTTTTAGTTCTCTTACACGAAAGTTGAGGTTGAAATCCCAGTATCCTTATCAATACCAAAAATAACTCCCTAATTATTTTCTTTGTATGCATATAACCCTTAGGGTTTCAATTCTTCGTTTTCGCTGTTAGAGTAACATCGGATGAATGGAGAGACTTTTCAATTAACAACCGCAATAAAATTTAGGATTTTATCGACGTTAGCAGTACGTTAGGGGAATGATTGATTTCCACTTCACTGGTCGATGAATTCAAAAGTGTTTTAAAGAAATAACGAGTAATAAAGCATTTTGAGTATATGGCCCAACGCAATTGTTAATTTTTTAAACTAATTTAAAATGAAATAATCAATTGTAAAAATTTTTGTCTAGAAAGAACAACCTAATTCTCATTTTAGGCACACGACAGCCATGAAATTAATTTCTTGAAACTAACAGATGGCTGTCGCGCTCTGCTTATACAAAAAGGGTTATATTAGGTAGTTTGATGAGGCCTACATCACGTAAAGTACACTTATCAAATTTTTAAACGGAGGACATTGTATTATGTAGAAAGAGTTTGTCTTAAGCTGTAGGTAATTGACTCTCATGCGGAAATACGTTTACTATACTGATTAAAAGTACTTAGGGGGGTTCTACCTGTGTACAGAATGATTGAGTTCTGTGTATTGTTGTCTGTTGTATTAATTAAATTGCACACAGTTTAAATACAAAAGCGACGTCAAGGTTTATTAGAGATGAAAATATATTGAAAGTACAGTTATATTTTCATTTATATTGGAGAAGCATTGAGATGGTAAAAGTCAGATAAAATGTCTCGGTGCTTTTCTTTTTGTCTACGGGTTCCTTTATTTGGATTTTTGCTGCTCTGGATGACACAGCAGATATCAATTGCAAGCCAAGGTAAAATTATTTTCTTTTATCTTTATTCTTGATATTGCCTTTTCTTTACTCATATTTTTATTATTCTAAAATTGAGATTTATTAAACACCAACAACAACAAGATATTTGATAGTTTTTAGAGTATTGCACCATTGAGGCATTGCAGAGTTTGCAGGTCCATGCTCTAAACTCGTTCATCCCTAAATTTTTAACGCTGGCGGCCACCACATCAGTGATGAGCAGGTGATATCTAATCCACTCCAACAGAGATTATCAAAATTGGCGTTGTGCATCTGAAACTTGTGTACGCATATTGTTTGGAAAACGAGTTCAGTTTTGTTTCTTAAAAAAAGCAGGTTTCCTTTCAACTCAAGGAAATAATCAATTGACATACGGTCTAAAATATATAACCCTGTTATTTCTTCTTCTGTCTTTCCTTCGATGTTCAACATCTTTTACGAGATTCAAAACAGGCATTCGCCAGGACGCCGCGTCGCCGGATTCTGCTCTAAGCTTGACATTTTGATAGCCTTTAATTTAAATTTACTTTTGATCTATTTTTATTATTGAATATAACATGAACTACCCAAATATTAGTTTAGACCACCGACCGGTTCATGTGATTGTTTCAAGTCATAATAACAACGATTGTTTGAATAAAATGTGCAAAGAGTGCGTTCACAAAGCACGTAGATAAATTGACATCAACCCATTCTAAATATATCTAATTCTTGTGATACGGGACTCGCTGCCAAGACGAGAGAAACTTCCTATTTTTGAAAGTAAACTCTTGAACCTTATAAGTGTTTTCAAAGGCCCACAGTATTATGGGTTACAGTCTTTTAGTTGAGTGCACACTACAATTTGCGTTTGGGTCAATAGGTAGACGACGATGAGATGGAGGGTCATCTGTAAGTTAATGATTTTTATTGAGATGCTCTCCACATTGTGATGTCCCCTAGGACCTGTAACTGTAAAAAATATCACTTTAAGAGTGGAACATATTTGTTTGTTTGCTTTTTTGCTTGCGTATAGTAAGCAACAAAGTGTGGATGGAAAATCACATCTCTGTCTCGCTACATGTAATAGTCTAACATTGGTCCAGGTTTGTTCCATATCTGTTCCAGATTTGTGTTCACCCCCGTCGACATCATTTTCCTACAGGTGATTCATCGCTTGAGTCGAGTTCATCGCCTGAGTCACTGACAAGTTGGTCAAGTTGGAGCAAGTGCTTTGGTCGGTGCAGCGTTAAATTTCAAACAAGGAATAATTGTTCGAAGGGTTGCGTTGGTGACCAAAATATGGAGATTAGGGAGTGTTTATCACATACAAAGTGTACAGGTATAATGCACTGCACTAGTGATGACTCTTGATCCTTGTCCACAGCTAAAGTTATATTCTTCAGACAAGCGAAGCTTTTATGAGTAGAAAAGTAAAAGTGCAACAACAACAGAAATAAAGCAAATCAAAAACTTAACAAACAAACAAACAAAAAAGCTAAGTTGAATGTTTTCGTTACCTTTATTTAAACATATTTTTCAATGTGAATATTTATAATAGTGTTATTTTACTCGGATTAGTTTTCTCTTGATTTTTAGCAATTTAGTTTTGATTCTTTTCTTTTCTTTTTATGCTAGTTGGTGACCTATTACGTAATTATGTGTTCTCCATTTACCTTTTTAATGCTGTTTTCTTATTCTTTCCGTGAAAACAGTATAAAACGTTGCATTTCGTTTCGTTAATCAGTTTGTTTCTATCCAAAGTTGCATACAGATCTTGTAAGTGGTTACTTTTCCTTGTGTATTTTGCCTGTCGGCGTTATCGACTTTGAATTCGAGGTGACGGTTTTAAATTGAGTTTTTTTTAAATCTTTATTCATGTTTTTGCAGCTCATAGAATACGTCTTTCTCATATCCCCTCTTATGCGGCCAAACTGAAGCTTGAGGTTCATGATGGCAAGAAGTGGACGTCCGTCTGCCACCCAGTAGGCATTGCTGATAACCTTTGCCAAATCCAGGGCTTTGAGTCAGCTGAGAATGAAAAAAAATGCGATATGATCCAAACGCATAGTTATGGCAACAAAACTTGTGGCGTTCTTCAAAGAATCATTTCTATCAATTGCAGCGATACACACGAAGTTACCACTGTATGTAAAGGTACAAGTAAACAGATACAGGCAAACTTTGATAAAAGCATAGATTTAGAGAGTATCAATAGGATAATATCTCTAACCGTAGACGGCAAGAAATCTACTGTTTTTATGGTAGATTGTTAAATCATAACTCATATAATCTTTTATAAGAAGGTGAGTTGAAACACTGCATGGTTATCCAGTTGGTTCGTTGATTTTTGGTTGTTAATAGACGGGTCGGCTGGCTGATTACCAGTAATTAAATGTATAATGAATGAGGGATTGAATTGGTGAGTGAGTGAGTGGATGAGTAAGTCAGTGAATGCATAAATGATTGTATGGATCATGGATCAATTTATAAATTAAAGAATAAATTAGTCGATAACTAATATAAGTACGTGATTTTTCATTAATTAATCCTCCTCTTCTGGCAGTAAATGTGTCACTTAAAGGAAACTACTCAGGAAAAGTCAAGTTTTTTCACAAGGGAATTCTAAAATCGCTATCAGGGATTGGTTGGAATATGATCGCGGCTCAGCTAGTCTGTCGTCAAATCGGATTTAAGAGAGCCGTAGCTCCCTTTTCTACGAAAATCAGTCGTCGCATTGTCAGTAAAGAGTGTGTTGATCATATTCACTGCTCCGGTTCCGAGACTTCACTAAGTTACTGCAAATTCAACTTCACTACTAATTACAAATGCAATCCAGATGCCGAGGCGAGCGTGACTTGTGATCCAGGTAATTTAGATTTAAACATATCCTTAGATCGCTTTAATAAAGACTATTTTATATGATATCAGCTCTCTCCAGTTGATCCTTAGCAATCATGAAAAGTACGATATCGGGTTAGGGTTATTGAGCGTTTGTGTTCGCTGCGAGTTTTATCAGGCCGTTTTTTGCTTCCGAACAGTTTTCGTTTGAATTTTTTACCCCGAGGGGAGTTACATCAAGGCCATGCAATAAATATATAGGTTACCGTGCTCCATTCAGAGACTGAAAAGATTATCTTACCTGGTAGGTTCCTCCATCGATTGACAAATAAAAAATCCCCCATGTCATAGAAGGAGCGCGCTTATAGTTATGCATGAAGATACATTACATTGCATGTGCATTACAGGGCAATACTGAGGAATCGTGAGATCACCTCAGACGTTGGAAACTCTGGTTAGTTATACTTCAGAGTGATCTCGAACTCGCAGCTACTCCGAAAGCACATTTTGTATTCTTGCTTTTATTCTGGTGTTTCTGCTTTTCCTTCCCTCGTTTTGTTATACGTTTTATTAAAAACTGAATCATTGGATAATTCAAGACTTTTTATTGGCTTAGCCAATATGGTATATGAGCCAATATACCATAATCTAATATCTGTACATTATAACATCCGGTTTCTTCTTACAAAATAAAGTCGAGAAGATTTGTCTAATATCTTGGGGGCGTTTTTTTTTAATAAAACAATTATTCTACTCGCGCTTGTCGGATATGAGATGATTATAGCCAACTCAGCGCTACGCGCCTCGTTGGCTATCTATCATCTCATATCCAACACGCGCTCGTGGAATGATTGTTAAATATATGACGACAGTATTGTACTCTTTGCTTTAGCTTTGCTGTCTTTTACATTCCTTGCAGCTGCTTCGTCACATTCTGCAGCCTGTTCTCTACATAACCTATTGCACTTTCCGTTTGCAGAACGCGATCTTGATTTCAAGTTTCGCCTGGTAAATATCACACAATTTGGTGAGACTATACAAGTCGAATGCAATCTCAATGCTTCCTACGGTAACCCACTGTGGTACAGCCTCAACGGCCAGATCATTGGTTCTGAAAAAAACTTGCGATTAGAAAACTTGACCACTACTCAAGCGGGTGTGTATTTCTGTAAGAACAATCAACAGTATGGTGCTGTAGTGGTATACGTTGCAGGTGAGGCATTCGAGAGAAAATTTATTTTGAACTAAACGTGCAGCAGTTCAAAATAATTTGAAAGAATTACATGAATATTGAAAAAGGCAAAGTCATGCATTCTTATAGGGTATTTAGCGAAATATATCAATTGGCTCGTATCTTGTCTAGTTGTTAATATTTAAGAATCCGGATAAGGGTTTCTCACCGAAAAAAAAAAGCAAACAAAGCAAAACGATAAATTTTAAACTAAATGTAAACTAAAACAGAACTGACAAGCTTAAGAAAACAACGAGTCCAACTCCTTACCTTTAAAAAAGGTAGGTAAATCAATGAATCAATCTAGCTTTCGCTTTGGTCATTATCAATTTTCTTATGTTTATTTATTCATTTTTTTGCTGTTTGTATATCCAATAGCAAAATCTGTAATGAAGCAAATGACCATCCCGGAAAAGAAATATACAATCCTAGCTTGTAACGTTTCTGGAGTTCCTCAGCCAATGGTGCTGCCCCTTTGGCGATTAAACGGCCAATTACTTCGGAAAGCTACTGTTACCATAAATAACGGACTTAATATCACGGATGAGGTCAGAAGCGGTGAAGGCCGGAATTACAGTTGT